GATTAGTTGTCTTTCTTGGTGTCCTATGCACTTTTTGTGCTCGTGTTGTCGCCGGATACAACTTTGTTTGTTGTTCCTGAAATTGCACCTGACGCTGCAGCTATTATTAGCACAAGCAGTATATTTGGCAATAGTCTATTGATGTTTCGATTAATCTACCATAGATCGCTTTCGATCTGGCAAATGCTATTATTTGTGGTGCTGACAATAGAGAATAAACGGCTTATTGTTTAAAATGTTGTTTATCTGATGTTGTGTTAGAAGTAATTTTGCTGGAACGTGATGCGTTTCAAAATCTAGTTTTAGTGAAATTGCTTTTCGTTTAGCTATAGCTAATGATAGTTTTTGTATTTGTCCTATGACATGTTCATATTATGCGAAATACATTATTAATTTTATGAGATAAAATATGTCTTACCACTAAACATGCACAGTCATCCTACATCGTACGGTATCAACTTATAAAATATATATCTGTTGTTATAAGTACATAAGCGTAATATTGTGGAACAACCAGAGGACCTTTCAGCTTCTGGAACAACTCCTAACATCCATGTTACCTCAGTATTAGTGGTTGATCCAAGGGCCTGTTTGCTGTGCTCAGACATTTCAAAATGGAATATTGGGTAAAGAGATTGAAACCCTTCGATTGATATCGAAGATCGGGTATCAGTGTCCTGATACGTTTGCATCGCCTCCATCAGGCACACGAGATAAGTTTCTTGTATTATTATTTTCAAAGTTAAATTCAGTCGCTCCTTGACAATATTGATTGAGTTTGTTATGACGAATATTCGTCTTATGTCGGAGCTACCAAAACCAGAATTGGTTTGTTCTTGATTGCCACGTCTTTCCTGTTGTTGAAACACAACATATATGTCTCAACAACTTTTCTAAAGGCGCTGTTTTTATTCACCATGTTCTTTTAATTGAATTTGCTAGGGCATTTAATAAACCTTATGCTGTTCAAAATATATGTTTCTGTTCTAAGCGGATCCATATTACTAATCGTGAAATTATATTTTTGCAATCATTGCCACCAACTCTCTGCAGAGAATCGTTTTGATCAGTTTTGTCAGGAATTAGCGTATTTTTGAAACAACGAAACACGTTGTTATAGTCGCGGCAAAAACTAAATATTATGCTCAAAGGAAGCATCATTGTAATATTTTTTGATAATTCTGCAAACGCTTTTCGTTTAGCATATCCCTCTAATAATTTGGTCGCAGGGCATTAATAAGGACACTTCTAATTGCTGAGGAAACAGTAGCTCCACCAGCCGCATCTGCTGTAAGTGCTGCTTCGGTATGTTGCATTAGCACCACCTGGTGTTAGAATTAAACCACTTTGTACTGCAGTATCTACAGTTCCAATATCTTTGGACCATATATTTGTTGCAATAGATCTCAAGTAATCATCGCTGAGCGATACGATGTTAGCAATATTGCTTGCTATCAGCAAGTGCATAAAAATATCTTCTGTTTGATTTGCAATCTGATATCTAGGGCTTTTAAATAAACTCCATCCGTTATTAACTAGTAAAATATCAACACCAGCAGCAGTTGCTAATGGAGGATTAGTTATTTTCACCATTCTTCCTTGTACTTCAATAGCGGCATTATGAGGAAGTAATACTACAACTTCATCTCGAGCATCAAATGTTCTGAATTAAAACGTTTTGGACTCATTAGAGTTTTCGTCAATATATTTAATATGCTCGAACACCGCTGCAAAATTGTCTACGGTGATCTCATCAACAAGGTCAAAGATATATTTTTATTCACACCTAAAAAGCAACACTATCCACCCGAGTGCTTGCACTCCATGGTTTAACTTGTGTTATTAACTTTCTAACAACAATTGTTTTTTGTTTGCTATTACCGCACGAGCTGTTTCTTATGATGGAGCTATTTCAGAAAGAACATGTTTTATATCCAAACCACTTGGCACTTCACCTTTGTTTTTACCAGCGATCTTTTGTCCGACAGCTGTTTCTGCTCCAGATGCAGCTCCTCTTTTGAAAGCTTTGGCCCGTCTGACGTCATAGTGCTACTTTGTGTGCTATTACAGGTATATTTTATATTGTCTGTGAAAACTTATTTCCGAAAAATCTATCTTTTATTTTTCTGTGATAAAGTTTTAGTTTTTTTTATCTTATTATACAAATTGTCTGACAAAAATGTACTTTGTTCAGCTACTGACACGTAGATGAAGATAGTAAGTCACAAATTCGTTGTTAAGATTAATCTGACGATCTGATTGATCGGCAAGTGCATCGTGATAGATGATATTTGATTTTCGACGCTGATAAGATAGTATATTAACTACCATGGATTGACTTGCATTAATGAATAAGGTCAAACATCAGAACGAAACGAATAAATCTTTTGCCCATTGCTACCTCGTGCTTGCATAACCCAATACCCAATTTCAATCGAACATTTTATCATAATTTTACTTACATCTGTAATTGTAACAGTTGATTCACGGTCATATCATACTGTCGCATATATCCTTATTGTCGCTGATTAAATCCTAAAAGTGATCCTATTGTGTATTGGCTCCTAAGATCAATAATCAATTTGTTTTTAATGTTGTTCTTGCTCGTAACGTGTTGTTCGGAATGATATTGAAATGATCAGATGATATGCCACTACTGTCTTCTGTTATATGTATTATTTTGTTGATCTATGTGACGTTGTATGCGCCAGATTTTCACTCAATGAAATTATTTTGTTTTTATGCAGAATGCAAAATCATCATTGACGTTAATTTTAACATTTGCCATAGATGCCAAACAGAAGCAGATACTAATCCGATCTCATATTGCTTTGGGGACGCTGGCGTACCGGGGTTATAGAACATGGAAGAGTTCGCGCTGTTTGATGTGGTCTGAAATGAGTCGCGTAGCAACGTCATCGACGATATTTTTATTTGATATTTGCAGATAAAAACATAACTAATTCTCCGCGATTCAAGCAGCTTTGTAACGGATAATACTCGTCCGTTGTTAAAGATCCATTCGATCTTAGATAATCAAAATTGTTGACTATTTAATTGTATATTTCTGTGCTAGTGTTTCAAGCTTCCTTCTATGAGAAAACATCAGTCGATCAATAATATAAACTGCCGAATCAAAACTTCACAGTATTGCAAATTAATCCAAAAATAATCCGAAAATTAAAGACATAAATCCTAGTAAAAATGGACCTGAATAAAACTCAGCACAATAATCACTTTGAATTCAATTATTTAAAACAAAATCAACCGAAACTGGTCACAACATAATAAATCTTAAAGTGCTAGATGTAAAAGCTCAACTGTTATATAGTTCTCTGTTTGCATTTCTAAAAACAATCATTACCTAATGGAAAATGCCTTTCTAGCATGATCTAATGAGCCTTGTTTATTTACAACACAATAACCTATTAAATTCATTTGGGGATCTCCAAAGCCATGACCCTGGTGAACATGGTGACGCATTCTTGTTGACGTGCATAATAATTCGGTCAATGAGCTCATACTCATCGAGAATATGAAGCTATTATTAGTTGTTTGCATCTATAAAATAAACAAAATTTTACAAAGTCAATCAGGTCAAACAGAAATGAACTCAATTTTGACAATTTCAAGGCCAGAAAACGATGTTACATCTCAATTACATGTAATTTAATAGAAATTAAAACTAATAGATAAGCAATTAAAATAAATATACATAACCGTACTTGTTCTATTATGACGATGAGAGTTATATTATTATACTATTGCAAAAGCTGAAACGTTAAAAATATCTCGATACGTTAAAAATATCTCGAAACGTTAAAACAAATGTTTCTAGCAGTTGTGTGTGAAATATCAAATAAAAATTGCTAGCAATTCCATAGTACTATTTTGTATGAAATCTATAGTTAGTCTTAAATAAGGGGTGTTTTTTGTAGCAAACCATATTTTATTTGACAACGGCGATGATTCAATAACGTGTCTTTCAGGGAAAACGATTATGAAATAAATTTTGTTACCTCAGCACAATTATTTTCGTAGATTTTTTAGACTATCTTGAAGGGACTATGGAGAGAAGGGGAGGGAACTTTTTCCGTCGTCCAATACAAAGTAGGTTTGGGGACCAGAACTCCCTTATATAAGATTACTTATAGCAGTCGTTCTTTTTAAATCCATGAGCAAGCATCACATGCTTGTAACTTATATCAGCTGGGATCTATACTGACGATTATCTTACATGTAAGGATATAGTTGGATTTCCGTTACAGCGGATAACATACATACTTTCCATTACTAATTGACGGTAATACTTGACACAAAGACTGTTGTTTAAACTATTTACGTTGCGGTAGGCTCATAAATATACATCATGTGACTGAGCCGGATTTTTCGAGTCTGATAAAATTGTAAATGTACCATTTGCGTTCTGTCTCAATATTTTTTCTTCCATGTTCAAGAATTATAAAAGTCCAACGAGATTTCAAATCCGAAATACGTCTGGGTTTGATTTACTTGCAATAGGACATAGACACAGAAGAGGCAAAATGAGTATATATCACTAACATTGTTTTGTGTACCATAACAAACTTGATTTTGTTTTGTTTTACAGCCTACATGATTCATACTGTGAGTCTACAAGCCTACGAAGTCACCGAAGCTTCTTAGTCTTTTAGCTATATGACATCAAATAAGCACAGCGGAACTACAGATTGTAAAAATCCGTAGCTAGTATGCGTAACTATGTGATTACAAAATGGCAGGTGATTTGTGATTTGGAATATTTAAAGTAACTTCAAAATTTGCTGTCATATCGCAACAATATTTACAGTGTGACAGTTTGTAGCGATATCTATCACTGGGGCATCATGTTGCAGACATGTAGCATCATGTCACACTCAGTCATATTATCCTGCCACCAAGCCAATCAGTTCTAACACTAAAACTCTTATGCAAAGCGCCAAGAGATGCAGGTGTTAGTACAATTTTTAGATGTTTTGGTATTACCTGACCGGGGTTAGAACCCAAGACCTTCCGCATCCTAGGCGGACGCTCTAACCACAAGGCCAACAAAATGGCAAACATATATATTGGACTGCAGAGAGAACCAATAACAAATTTGTCTTGGTTTCTAAAATTTCGACGAAATTTACCATGTCCGAAACATTGACATTTATGATTAGATGTATCTCAGAAATGCGCACTTGATGAGCTGAAATCACTCGCCCATAACATCGGAGACCAGTCTGGTTTTCATAGATGTATCATGTGGTTTGAAGACAATTGTTGGTGTCAATTAGTCTAATAATCTATTTCTCTCTATGTGTGTTTTCCCTTTTAGTCGAGTACTTCTTAGTATCAGGAGATGGTGTTTTGTGTAATTAGTCGGTATTCGATCTGCATGTGGTGAGATGTGTAATTATAAGGATTGCATCTGTACAATGACAGAAGATGAGTGAAATGTGTAGTTCGGGGTTATTCGATATGTATGTGCTTGTGTAATAAAAATGTATCATGAAAGGTGAAGGTGGAGTTATATAATAAATGGACATTATATGATAGCAAGAGAAGTGGAGTTGATTACTTAAGGTTTTTTTTATATGTATAGTAACAGATGAAGAAGTTGTGTAGTTAATGGGTTAAACTTACGAATGTGCTTGTAAGTGTTTGATGGTATTTTGACATGAGAAGATTGATTTGTGTATTAGTGTGACATGGTTGAGTTATGTAGTTCAGGGGTATTTGGATATGAATGTGTTTGTAGGTAATTCCTATGCATTGTGACAGTTGAGAGTGGAGCTGCATAATTAAATTTGTTTGCTATGTATAGTGACAGTTGAGAGTGGAGCGCATAGTTAAATTTGTTTGCTATGTATAGTGACAGTTGAGAGTGGAGCTGCATAGTTAAATGTGTTTGCTATGTATAGTGATAGTTGAGAGTGGAGCTGCATAGTTAAATGTGTTTGCTATGTATAGTGACAGTTGAGAGTGGAGCTGCATAGTTAAATGTGTTTGCTATGTATAGTGACAGTTGAGAGTGGAGCGCATAGTTAAATGTGTTTGCTATGTATAGTGACAGTTGAGAGTGGAGCGCATAGTTAAATGTGTTTGCTATGTATAGTGACAGTTGAGAGTGGAGCTGCATAATTAAGGGTATTTTAATGCATAGTAATAGTTGAGAGTGGAGCTGCATAGTTAAATGTGTTTGCTATGCATTGTGACAGTTGAGAGTGGAGTTTCCTAGTGAAGCCTGTTTGTTTTTCTATATGCTTGTATGTGCTTTATATGCACATGTGAATGGTTCACATTTTACAGTGAACGTGATTTATATTTGTTTGTCAAATATAATGATAGCATTTTATACGATGAGCTTTCCAGGAGGTTAATATGGGTTCTTTCAATAAAGTTTTCAAATGTTTTCGATTTTGTCAATTTTTCGAATAAAATTTAAAGAACTCAAAATAATTTCGTTTTAGTACCAATTTATTAAATCTGTTTATGTATTAGCAATTACCATAATGTACTTTTAGTTATTACGAGATACTAATTACACTTTGTTTCTGCTCTGCTCATTTGAAGTCATATGGAAAAACTAAATAATGTAACGGCCAAAGTGTCGACATAAAACCTTAAGGTTGTACTACATTAAGTTTCGTATATATTTTCTTTAATCTTCTTCATTTTTTGAAATCCAGATTATTAGTCATCAGTTCAAATGTACCAAAATTATATGACTTTTGGCTGGCAGTACCTTTTCCTGAAATAGTTGCACTTGAATAGAATTACTGCAACGTTTGAGTACAAATAGTCATAGTATGACAGACTACCACTGCCCCATTAAGTCAAAAGAATCGAAAGAGCTGCAATGTGCTATTCACACCGTATATACTCCTTATAAGACGAATCAAACTGCAAACAACAAAGATCCTGACTTGCCGTTGCACAGTGCGCCTACATATCAGAATCTGTGCTATATGTGATACTGATTACTCCTAACAAAATGCATAGATTTAAATCTGCCGGCGTTTATATGACGGTAGATCTGGGTCTGCGCAGTTTGCAGTTGGGTTCGTCTTATAAGCGAGTACAGACGGTGACAGCAATTACAATTTGTTTGCATCAAAATAAAATTTCAGATACTGTCAAAGCAATGCAACCATGTTAAAAAATGAATGTGAAAAGTATATACCCATGCATGCTAGATACATTTGTAAGAAAGCAATATTTGTCGAAATCCGACGTAAGCCACTTTAAATGAGAAAAAAAAATCATCAAGTTCTTCAAATATGAAAAGGTTTCAACAACCTTCTATCTACATATAGTTAATTGTATTTGCCTGTTTTCTTTACATGCATAAAATAATTAGCTATGAGTTCAAAAACAACAACGTGTTTACCATGTGTTTTTCCCTTTATGCTAGTCAAGGCATTGGTACCCTTTCAATGTATATTACATTTTTCTTTCTGTGTGTACTTTTTGCATGAAATCAAATGCGTTTGTTATAAGTTTTAATGTTCCAGGACTATCTTATATTAACCACTAACTTGAACCGTTTATTTATTTATTCAATCCAGCAGACACAAATACTCATTGACATACACGAAAAAAAATTAAATTAGTTTATAACAACTCATTTTATGTTATATTGACATCTAAAACAAACAAATAATCATGTGCAAAAAAGATCACATAAGAACCCATGCATTTGTTCTTCAAGGAATAATGTAATAATGTAGAATTTCTTTCACAGAGTTTTAAATACTGCAATAATACTGGTCGTAATATCTGATATGTGTTTTTGTAAAAATGAACAAACATTTCATGCTGTTTCTGATATTAATTTTTGTGTAATAAATATATATTAGTCATAAGATTTGCCTCGGAACATTGCAAGTTTTTAGCTTAATACAGAGACATAAAATATAGAATGTGAATAATTTCTATCCTTCGAGTCGGTACATTAAATGGTCTGCAGATATTTCAATTATTGGTGAAAGTCAAACCTGAAGAAAAACAGGCAAATTTCAAACAATTTCGCTGAACTGTTTCATTTCGTTGGGTCAAAACCAATTGCCGAGCAGAACATATTTCACAACAATTTTCAAGTTTACGCCTTACGAATAAGATACAAAGCACGTATGACTGATATGTTTATATAGTTCATCAAGTGTTCATTAACACCTTGGGATTTTCATTGCTTTGCAGTCATTTCACGGACATTAAAGCTGCGTTACTTGTTAGCCAGACAACCACGTCTTTCACTCAACTCTTGTACTTAAATTTCATACCTTTAAATAATTAAGTACATTCTAATTGCTCTAAACTAAAAGGATGTTATTTATCTACAATAAATATAAATTTGTCCCCAAAAATGTCGATTGAAACACCCCAGTCATAAACTCATCCCATTATAAACCATGGCCCTTTGCAGCCAATCTTTGATACTTTTTTGCATAATTATTAAGTAAACCAGTTTTAAAAAATTGCCACTCACACTATAGGATTGCAGTTAATTGAAAAGCAATTAATGAGACACATAATCAAATGCTTTAGAAAAACGTATATCAAGTGCACGAACTTTGTGACTTATTATCAACTTATTTTGAGATCAAATCAGTAAATTAGAAGAACGTTTCGACATAGAACCAACTGATCTTCACATAAGTTTTACATAAAACTGAAAAATGTTAATCTATTTCTCAAACACTATGGTTAGGATTGGTAACAGTGACATAATCCTATAACTGAAGACGTTACTACTTTTTCCTGACTGAAAGATAAAGATAGCATTTGCCTGCTTGAACACGATAGGAAATATACAAAACTACATATATGTTTTGTTCCGAGTGACCTAAAAGACTGAGTATTTCGAATATGTCCAGGCCGTCAGGCCTAATGTATATTCTTATGCTATATCAGACGAGTTTTTCCCCGTTACGCAACAAAATATTTACAAAGTTTTGTGTTTATTACATATGCCCTTTTTTATTTAACACATTCTTTTAATTTTTTATTGCATAATTTAAAGAAATAAATTGGGCATTTGGCATTTTATGAAAGATATTGTACAACCCTTGGAATAACACTATATACCTAACGGTTTAGACGCGTCATTTGGTCTGTCTGCATTACTTTTTGTCTTTGATTTTTTAAAAATGTTTCATGGGACATAATAAATTTAAAACGCAGTCATAGGTACGTGGAATCTTTCCTCAAGGAGCATACAATTTTGGATAAGTAATTCGTTCTTTTCCTCACAACCTACTTAATAAAAATACATACTCTACTCAGGTCACAGAGAGAGAGAGAGAGAGAGAGAGAGAGAGAGAGAGAGAGAGAGAGAGAGAGAGAGAGAGAGAGAGAGAGAGAGAGAGAGAGAGAGAGAGAGAGAGAGAGAGAGAGAGAGAGAGAGAGAGAGAGAAGCTTTGGTCATTTTCATGTTTTTATTAAAAATGATAATTAATAATAATATTAATAATAATAATAGATTTTTAGAACATTATAGTAAGTTTAAAAAACAACAACAAAACATAATATTAAATACATCACAGTATTTGTACCACGTAACCGAGGCATTTACTTTTAAAGGGGACCTGGTTTGCAACTTTGTTTTATTGATTAAGACTAAATAAATCCAAAGGAAAGTGCACGCGTATCGTTACGACGAACAATATTCTTGTAGATTACTTGGTGTAATTTCTATTTCAAGGATTCAATCCAGCCCAAATTTCTTTTCTCTCTCACTCCAAATTTCTTTACTGCTTGTCCGTTATGCATGAAAGTGGAGGAGGAAACATAAATCGAAAAGGATTGTGACGAAAATATATACCATATTATTTTCATACGTCACTAATGATTAATATGTGGAAATTCATCATTGATCTAGAATCAACTGTTAGAATGTTTATATATGTGTATTATTGCGCCATGAGCAGATCACAATTGGTATATCAAATGGCTTATACCAACACTTTAAATGCCATGTTACTTTTAATGTGTGTGTGTGTGTGTGTGTATATATATATATATATATATATATATATATATATATATATATATAGAGATATATATATATATATA